TTCCCAACACAATAGGGGCAATTTGTAATTTTTTGGCCCATAGAGTAATATCGTATAGGGTCTCAACCCGTTTTTTGATATTTTCACAATTTTTTAAAAATTGTCAAGCAAATTGTCAAGCTGATTGTCAAGCTGATTGCAAAGATTGAACCAGGGTTTTAAAAATTGTCAAGCTCATTCACAATAGTGTCGGCTAGAAATTGGTGGGTGGCTAGTTTTAGGAACCTTGAATTGCCAAATTCCCTTAAGTTTTGGGATTTTCTTCTTTCAGTTTCTATTGTAGTCATAAGACTCGATAATCGCTTGTGTCAGATCGGTTGATTCGAAATGAGTCCATTTGTGGTTGAATGCCCGATTCAAACTTTTAAAACGCAGGGGGTGAACCAATAAGGTTAAACTCAGTCTAGACTAACTTGAGATTTCAGCAATTTTGGTTTAAAATCCTAGCATCCCCTGATTCTTTATGTGAAATGGTTTTGCTACATCGACCAAATCCAATGTGAGCTCATTGCCATCCAATGGGCTGCGGCCTTAGCAATAGTACCAACGACCTCTATGATGAAGTCTCTTATTTCTTTCTCCCCAAAAGGGTAGGGGCGTTAGCAGTAGGAACTGTTTTTTCCCCCACCGACTCACCAAAAAAAATCCAGAAGAGCAATAGGTCTAGTTCTTTGAACCGAAATTGGACCTTTAAACAAAAGCACAAAAGCTAAATCATTGCACATTGACATCAGCTTTTGATTCAAAACATGTTAAATGTCTACCAAATGCAGTGGCTTAGATGGGCATCACTTACTTTTGATAGCTTGACAAGTGCCCATTTACTTCCAAAATATACGCCCAAAATTGTGACCATCCTCTTGCACAAGAGTGCAATCAGAAAGTGGTGATTTTTTATTGGCTCGTTGCATCTGGTACACTTCTTCTTCTTTTTTTTTTTTGGATAATTCAATGGGGAAGACATCCTGTACCCACTTTTTTTCAAATAGCTTAGGAGTTAGTTTTTTGAAAGTGTTAGTGGGGTGGTCTCATGAGAATGAGAATGAAAACCATATATGGGGATGCTACTACCACGACCCAGCCCCTTTCCCTCGGTTGTCTTTTTGCTTGTACATATTTACATCTATATATCTGGCAAAAGACTTGCTAAATGGGAAGGTTTTCTCGATGTGGAATTTTCAAATCCAATTTAGAATCACTAAATGAATATTTTCATTTAACTGAAAAAGCTAGACTTTGAGTAGTGAAACACTTAAATCTCACTATCTGGAAATTGGACTTTCTATTATTCTAGAAAGCTTGATTTTTTATAGCACAATCATGGCGAGTATGCGCTTTTCTTTTCTTTTTCTTCTTCTTCCAATTTTAAATCGATCGCTAGGTTCAAGAGGATACATCCCCAACATTTATAGGTCATTTGGGACCCGGTATCCGCAAAACTTGATTATGCATCAAATCCCAGGTATAAAACTTCTAGAGTCCTAAAAATACTCTGAAATAGAACTTCATCTGACTGCAACATATAATCTTTTTTAACTCATATCAAAAGTCTAGTCATGTTCCATTTGTCACTGCATAACAGGAATAGCTCAAAGAAGTCACCCCTTAAGCTTGAACTTTGAGGATGGGGGAAGATTAGGTCTAGAAACCATCCCCTTTCCTAAGGTTTTAAATCAAGAAGTCCATATTTGTCTAGAAGCAAATGTGCCTTCTCAAAAGCAAGGGAATATTTTATCCTTCAATACCATAATCTAAGGCCCCAAAAGTGAAACTAGCATTAAAAAAGAAAAGAAATGGTGGGGGCCCCAACCCTTATAATCAAGCACTCGTGTTCTTTCTCCCTATTCAATCATATCCCAAGCCATATGGAAATGTAGATGAAGTTATAAAAACCCTAGGTTGCAAAGATGAGAGAAAAGTAGGCATTGAGTTTTCTTTTTAAATCAATGGAAGAGAGATGATGTGTTGATGGAGATATTAAGGGCTTTATGTATCATGGCAAAGCTTTAGAGCTTTTCATGTTGTCAAAAAGTTTAATCAATGTGGGGTTTGAATGAGCTTTGAAGTGGTTAAAAGTGGAGGATTAATAAGTGGGCGAATCCATGCTTTTTTTATGTTTTTGTCTATAAAAGATGTTAGGAAAGGACGTGGGCTTAGTCATCCTCTTTTGATAAGGCCAACAAAAAAGGAGGCCAAATGATTTTCTGCTCCTGATGAAGTACACTATTCATTTAGTCCCTCAGATATAACACATGCTGGAAATACCTTTTATATCTCAATTTTTGGGGATGTAATCTCTCCAACCCATAACTAATCTAAATAAAAAATATTCCAAAACAAGCTTTATATGTACTAAAAAATAATAATGCCTCAAGATTGAATAGCCACCGTCTAATTTTTGAAGAGCTAGATCAAAGCGTCACAAAACTCACAATTCAATTTTTTTCATTTGAATATAATCGTTTGGTAGTTCTTATGCGGTTCCCAAAATTTTAGACAAAAGACAGGAGCGAGTAAACGCATAACATGCTAAAAGGCAAATAGAGAGAGCCCAAGGCAATTGTTGTTTAACACACTCATTAGTCATTCCCATGGCCTGGGATGACATTATTCAAAACAAGGGGTTTTGAGATGTGATTGTCTTCTCATAAAGGTCGAGGGAATGTGAGGAGGCATAAGAATTGTTTAATTTATATGTAAATTTTACATGAATATCAAGTTAAAATTTAACCAAAAAAATTTGTTGATTCAGTGGTAAAAGAGCATAAAATAAGAATTGGAATAAGACGGTTAGGTTTTGATTACTGAATGCGCTCAAGGTTCAAAAAAATATATTTATGAAAAGTTTTATGAGATATTTAGCGTAATTTTTTATTTTACGATTAAAAGTGATTATGATTTTCTTGAATCAAAATTTAAATAATATTAGAATATTCAATTGAAGACATATAAAAGCAACAAGGGGCTCAAAATGGTTTGACATACACAAATATCATTATTTGAAATCCTATCCTCCATGGGATTTCAGTGCCATCTCTAGTGATTTCCGCCATTTTTAGAAGGATGGTTTAGGTATTTGATAAAAAAAAAAGGGCATTTAGAATCAAATATCAAGGCTACTTTTGTCATTTTCACATTTAACTTCAATGTTTAAACACTCAATATAGTGAAACAAGTGTGAGAATCATAAATAGAAGAGCTTACAATAATAATTGCTTTGAAGAGAGAAGATAGAGACAAGGACATAAAGCAAGGGGGAAAGGGTGATCCATTAAATGTAATGAACTACAAATAATAAATAACATTTCTAATAATATCAAATGCAAAACCATGCAGGAGTAAAAGTGCGGGCACCAAATAGGGAGAGAAAGTAGAGAGAGAGATGTGACAGGAAAAAAAAAAAAAAAGTAAACTAGAAAACAAGATTATGTTAAATATAGGAGAGTGGAAAACATGATCAAAGTAAATGCATAAGAGAGATAAGAAATAAGGACCAAGCCCGCATATGTGAAAAAGCATGCTTTTTAATACATCTATTTTTGAGTTGGATTTTAAGACTTAATTTTTAAAGATATGTGACACATTAATATGAAAATATAAATAAAATTTTAAAACTAAAAATAATAATTTTAGAAAAAAAACATTTGGGCTGTTGGCTTTCATTGATTTTAGATAGAATACCTACTTGTATCCATTTTCGAGATGGATGCTTTATACTTTTTGGACCGCATATATAGAAATACGGTCCAGCCGGTATGAAAAAAATTTCTAATAAATAATGATATTTATCAAAAGCACAAGAGATTAATCATTTGACATTTTTTTTAAATTTTTATCTACATTCAAAATATTTTCATATTTTTGTTTAATTTAAAAACCCATCAAGATTAAAGCATGTGTAAATAGGAGAAATGGGAGAAATGTTCGATGGTTGATATTTCAAGCGTGTTGGAAGAAATAAGCACATGTGCTATGCTCCCATAGGAATAAATTGTGCATCTACATCCTCATGCAAAACACCTATAGGGAATTGTTTTATTCTAAAATTTTGAAAACTAATTATTTTCAAAAGGAAAAACTTTGAATTTTATGTTTTGTAACATTTAGATCTAGCCCTTCAAAAATTGGACGGTCTCAGATTCAATATTGAAGGACTAGTTTTTTTTCTAGTAGATAGAGAGTTTATTTGGGATTTTTATTGAATTGAGATTAGCAATATAGGTGGTGAAGATTACCTGTCCAAAATTTGAAATCTAAAAAAGTATTCCTAGCATGTGTTTTGGCTTAGCATACTCCCGCGCGAGTAGAAACTAGGCAGTCTATTTGGCATAAATAACTATATCTAATAGAAACCATGACTATAAAAAGGGAGACCATCAAAGAGAGAGAAGAGAGAGAGTGGACTAGAGAGAGAAGTATTGGGTCTACGGAAGATACCTTTTTGTCTATTTTTCAGAATTTTCATTGGGATTTTCGCCGAAACCGAAACTTTTAACTCCTTTCGTACCTTGTTCGTCACGCAAGTCATGGACACGTGTGATGCCCTCAAAGGAACGGCTGCGATCTCCTCTCTCTGAATTGACCGCATTCGTCGAGCAAATATCTACCGTTCCCTCCAAAGTCAATTCTCCCTATTGCCACCGCGACACTTAATGAACGGCCACTACTTTCCAGTGAGCAATCAAGGGAAAATCCTAACCGTTCATTGAAATCACTAATAAGTTAATACCACGTGCGGCTGTCCATTTTTCATCATAATCCACCAAATCTGATTTTCGCCACCATAAATTCATCAATCCACCCACATTATTGAAAAACATAATGGGTGTATTACTAAAAGTATGATTTGGCATAGTAGAAGGCTCAAGCCTAAACTCAAGTAAAACTGCGGTTAGGATTTAACCTCAGATAGCTCAGTTCCATGTTTGACCTTAACACTCGCGAAAATAATCCCCTTCTATATAAACACCTGCTTTTTGTTTCACTCTATCTTTCTTAGCTTTCAGCCTTTTCTCCTCCTTTTTGATGCTCTTCTGAAAACCCTAACCTTTTTCTTTACCAGTCCCAATGCCCTAATTCTCCTCGGTTTCTTACTAATTCCAACTTTTTAGTTGATAATTCTTGTGGTTTCATGGATCTGGGGTTTTCTAAGCCTAACTCTACTCCATTTCTCTCTTGTTGTAGCTTTATAAGTGGAATTACTGATGATTTGTTCAATTTAGGGTTTTTTATGGTTTTTTTTCGATTCTGAATTGTTCTTATTGTGAATATATTGAGTGAATTGGGCGTCTTTCTGGTTTTTTCTTCATATCTGGTTTTTTTCCTTTGTGGAGTGATTTAAAGTGGTTTGGTGGTTTTGAGAAATTAAGGGTTTTCTAGTTGGAAATATGTGGAATAATGTTAATAACAGTGTTGAGACTGTAAATGCTGCTGCTTCCGCTATTGTAACTGCAGATCATCGGGTGCAACAAGCCACTGTTCAGGTATTTAGCATATCTTACCCTGTTTTTTTTATGTAAGTTTTTAATTTTTCGTTTTTTCATTTGTGTTTATATGTTGGAATTTAATTTTTTCATTTTTTTTTCGTTTATATTTCTATCATTTACATAAATACATACACGCACAAACGAATTCAGGAATCCATGTTATGTTGTGAAGTCACATGTGAATACATACTTTTTCATATATTCATATTTAGATTAATGAATGATTAGATGCATATATGAGCAAACCTTCCTATGACCCATGCGTGTACTTATATGTGCATGTCTGTGCTTGTCATCTGCGTGTATCCATATCCATGTATGCATTTAGTGTATTTGCTTGGCGTATTTCGTCCATAATGAAACACCCCTCTTTTTAGAGATTATAGTTCTGTTCTCCAAATTTCTTTGACTTGCGTAACCTCTCTGGTAATTTATGTAAATTACTATGCTATCCCTTATTACCGAAATAGTTGGAAAAATATCTTATGGGGTAAGGGCTAAATCGTCTGAACATTTCTTTTTAGGGATTAGAGAAATGCCTCAGTCTTTCTATATGTTATGGAAAGCCTATAATGGCTGTTATTACGAAAATGACTTCTTTGCCATTTTAAGAGGTAAAGAGAGCAAAAAAAATAAGCAAATTTGGTTGTGTATGTGTCCTTATTGGCAGTATTCTTACAGTAGGCACAATTCGTTTATATTTGGAAATGGTGGAACCCTAGCCTATGGTATAGGGTGTGTGTGTTTATTTGCTATAATAGAATACCCCTAATGATGACTATCTGGTGTTCTGTATTTTTCTATAAAATGGTGATTTTACAGGTTTAGTTTTTTGACTTTCGTTTTATGCATTTATAAAATTTAGGCGTGATGCCTACCTTAGCAGCCAAAACTTAATGGATGTTTTGCCAAAATTTTTCAGTTGGGATGGTGTTGGTCATTTTTTTTAATTAGACATTTACAGAACAGCTTGAGATGCCATTTAAAAGCTCCCTTCTTGATTCATGACGAGCTTTCAGCACATCTAAGTCTGAAATTTAGAATACTAAGGCCCCTCTCTAATGTAGTCCTGTGACTGGGACTGACAACTATTCAACTGATCCTTGCCTTATTCTTTGTAGAGGGAATTAGTCTAAATGCCATAGATTTGGACTCTCTAGAGTCGGCTCTGGTCTATGGATGGCCAAGCAATGCTCAAATTTGATTTGTGGGGTCGTAATAAAGCTTCTGACTTTTTTAAGTAATTCTAAGTTTTGGAAGGTTTGGTAATTTTTATTTTTCTAAATTTTATTTTATTGTGTTTAAAGACCCTGCAAGCCAGCTATGCTCGAGACTGGGCCAAATCTGGAGCAAAATTTGGTGTATAAACTTGAATTGGGCCTATTATTGCTCCTAACTGTCTCGAGTAGTTGGAAGCTATTAAAATATAGAGCACAATAAAGTAGTTACCTAATTAACAATAAGGTATCGGTCAATGTTGTATTATCCTTAAGCACAATAGCATATGCAACTATTTGGCCCAATTAACCAAGTTATATCTCTGTGCATGGTTTTGGGACTTGGGTTAAGGAGAGTTTTCAGTTTTTCTCAAATCCTTATGTTGCACTTCAGCTAATGGTATATTTTGATTACTATGGTAATATATATTGTTTTGTTAGTGAATATGTTGGGTTGATTTCTCTTGGAAATATGCTCTATATTTTATATATCCTTAATTTTTCTCTGAATTAATTTGTTTTCTAGTAGATACATTAATAGCATAATTACTGAAGTTTCAAACTTGGACTTGGCTTTAGTCTCAAAGGCATACAAGACTATTAAATGTTTGAGAGTTCTTCAAACGCTCAAATGTTTGAGAGTTCTTCAAACACTTAAATGCTTGAGAGTTCTTCAAACACTCAAATGTTTGAGAGTTCTTCAAACACTTCCAGAATGTTTATTTATGAAAACCAGCTGCATGAACGGAGAGAAATTCTATGAATCAAAGCTGCCTATGTTCTTTTAAGTCCTTGAAACTTGCTGATAAAATGAGGTTCTTAAGTAGATCATTAACCATATAAGTCTGTTCTGGGTTTATATGCAGTACAAAGGTTTCTTGAATTCTATCCTGTAGGCTATGAGGAAAATGATGGCACCCCTGTCTCTTGCTGAGAGCACAGTAAATAAAGGTCAAATATGATTAGAATGGTCAAACCACCTTAAGCAACCATTGTGGTGGTGAAGTCAACCAATTCATTAATAAAAGTGGTTACTTAAAAAGATCATTTCATTCAACTACCCCCTCAACTCTTTTGTTAAAAAAGCCCAAAACGCCCCTGTTCTTGGTTCTTAATGCTGCGCAAGTCAGGGGTTTGATAATCTCTTGCATGGACAGTGAAGCATCTCTTGGGGTAGATAACCTTCATAAACATTCTTTTTGTTGCAGATCTCTCTCTCTCTCTCTCTCTCTCTCTTTGATGTTGCTTATTTTGTTCTATAGAAAAGAAGATGGGGAGGCTGTTGGAGCGTGTACTGGTGCTTTGGGTCCCCACGCCATGGCAAACGCATCAGCCGAGCAGTCCTGGTCCCGGAACCAATCCCCTCTGGTGATGGTGCTCCACCACCAAACGATCCCTCTCACCCTCCTCCCCCTCCACTTCCCTTTGTTGCCCCACCCTCCTCACCAGCCTCCTTCCTCCACTCGGAGCCCCCGTCAGTTTCTCACTCCCCTGCTGGCTTTCTCTCTCTATCTTCTCTCTCCTCTGACCCCTACTCTCAAAACACTAACTCTATCTTTGCCATTGGGCCTTATGCCCATGAAACCCAACTTGTCTCTCCTCCTGTTTTCTCAACCTTTACAACTGAACCCTCGACTGCCCCTTTCACCCCACCACCTGAATCTGTTCATTTAACTACACCTTCATCTCCTGAAGTTCCCTTTGCCCAGCTCGTAACTTCTCTCTCTCTAGATCCCAAGAACCCAAACCACGCGAAGGGCCTTTCTCCGTTTGCCTCTTCCCGTCTCTCGGACCTCCAGGCGTACCAGCTCTACCGGAGGAATGACAAAGGCCTTTCTCTTTCTCCCTCCTCCCCATTCACTGATCTTCAGGTTTGCCAGTTCTTTCCGACCAATGAGAAGGGCCTCGCTGTTCCTTCTTTCTCTACCTCCTCCCTCCCTTCTCTCTCTACTTCCTCTAACTACTCAGACCTCCAGGCCTACCAACTCTATCCTGGGAGTCCTGTCGGTCAGCTCATATCGCCAGTCTCAGGGTCTGGTTCCTCTTCTCCATTTTTCCGACGAGGCGAGCCACCCCAGTTTTGTAGCATTGATGGGTCTGCTCCATTTAGGAGTTTGGAGAACAAGGCCAATGATTCTATTCAGGATATGGATGATAAGGATCACAACCAAGATGGCGAGGTTTCAATGCATAGAGTTTCATTTGGATTGAGTCAGGAAGAGGTTAAGGGTTGCAATTCAGCAAGAGATGTAGAGGAGGAAGCTGCACCAATGGAAAAAATTCAGGTTGGTCCGCCTGAAGATGAGGGGTTTTCTAATATTCCTTCAAGCTTGGTTCAGTTTGAGAATGAGGAGAGAGAAGGAAGAACGGAGGATAAAGAGGCAGGTATGGATGAGAGAGAAGGAAGAGTGGAGGAGGGAGAGGGTTCTCCATCTATCTCTGGGGAGGTTTGCGGTATTGGTGGGTTTGAGAAGCAGTCAGGGAAGGAGAAGCAGTCGGGGAAGGAGTTGGAGGGTTTGGGGGCTAGGGAGTTCAAGTTTGACAATGCTGAAGGGGTGGTAGGGCCTCCTAGCATTAGGGCTGGAGAGTGGTGGAGGACAGAGACACTTGGGGTGGAGGCTGAGACCAAGAAATGGGCCTTCTTTCCCATGGTACAGCCGGGGGTTAGCTGAGGAGGTGTTGTGGTTCATGATGGGTTGTTCCTTCTTGAAGGGGCATGGCAAGAGCGAAGAAACAGGGGAACACTGGAAATATTTGCTATTTTATGTATCATATTTGCACCAACACAGGGGGGGAATAGAGAGAGAAACTAACCCAAAGAGGTGCTTCTGAATCAAGAACTCATATGCCTGTCCCGGGTTTAGAGAGGGAGAGTGCTTACAATCCAATATACCTTTCCTTGGTTAAGATAGTGTATCCACATATACAAAACCTGCCTCTGATAATGAGCAAGAGCTGGAGTGTGTCAGAGAGGGTTTAAACGGTTGAATGAGATCTTAGATTAGGATTGAGGTGATTGATACACTTAAATTATAACTCAAAAAATTTAGATCGATTTCAATAGTAAAACTGAGGACTGGCATTCTGTTACAGAGCATTGGATTTCGCAAGACGACCTTTTTTCCTGGTCAAGGCAAATGAAAACTGATATTCATGTCAAGGCTCGAGTCATTGAATGGTTTAGGAATTTGTTTTTGAGGCTTTTTCATGGCATGCCAGCATTGTATTTTATGGCATTTGGGGTTTATTGATTTACAGGGTTTGCGACAGCGAGGAGGATGCAGAGATGGCAAAAGGCTTTTCTATGCTGGGTTGTAACATGAGAGTGCATGTCTCTGTGCACCATGTACAAAATCCTTGTATAAATTTATAGGATCAGAAGTAGTATTATTTGTGCTTCCTTTTATTTGTACGGTTTGTTTAGAGCCTAGGTTCTAAACAATCAAATTAGAGCTTACCTTCAAATAGTATCGAAAAATGTGGTTTCAATTCTGAAAATATATGTGATAGTATTAAAATATATATATTCATCTTTATTTATAAAGTTTAAAGCTTAAAAAATAGCGTGGATCTTAAAATCTAGAAAATTGACTGTATAAAAATGTGTTATAAAATATACTACTTTCAAAACTTGAAATCTATTTTTTTTTCATGTTCATGCATCTTGATGTCGAGATGATCTATTTAAGGATATTTAAACGTCAAAACCACCTCATTTAGTGTAATTTTTTAGGTAGGCTCAAATTTGATTGTCAGTGCATCGGCTTTATAAAAACTTTTTCCTTTATTTATCATCGAGCTCTGGAATTTAAGATGAAGGTAAGAATTGAAGAGATATAAAAGTTATGGCATGAAGAGAGTATTTGGCAGACATTAATGCACGAATTCTTGTAGGCGAGAAAAGGAAATATCCTTTTGTAGGTTCTCTCTCTTCATGGCTCATGAGCGATGGTAGTAAGAGACAAGAATCAGGGCTGCCAATTGAGCCTGAATGCCCCGGGCTTCCCTGCCAGGCTCAATTTTGGGCTGAGTATGGCCTGCTGGCCAGGCTTGGATTGTGCTTGGCCCAAGCGATGCGATCCCTGGCCTTCCTATAAAGGTTTGGGCTAGGCAAAACCTAGCCTAGCCTGGGGTTGGCCCGAACCAGGCTTGTTGGCGGCCTCGTAGGGTTGGGCTGCCAGTTGGGTGGGGCTGGCCTGTGGGTTTCGGGCTAGGCCTATTTTCTGACGAATGTGAGCATCTTTAGTTGGCCCGAGGGCTAGGCTTAGACTCAAAGACCTTGGTCGGGCCATTCTGTAGATAATTTTGGCCATGCCTATGCGGCTTGGGGTATGGGCCAACCTTGGCTTGGCCTATTGTGCCTATCTTATTTATATATTTACATTAAACCACAGTTAAGGGTATAAATATCATTAAGAGAGAAATTTGTTAGGTACCTAATCAATAGGTTTCCAAACCTTTGGGTGATGGAAACACGGAAAGTTAAGCCCTTAAACCATCTTGGATGGTTACATACCACTACGTTCCGCAGTCAATGTCCTCAGTGGGCTCTCACTCTATGGTGGTTCTCACTCTATTTAGGTAGCCCTTCCACCTTGGCCACAGGTAGCCCTTTCCTAGGGGATCGACGATATCCTCGGTGGCTCTCTCTATGGTGGCTTTTACTTTGATTTTATTCAGGTAGCTCACTCTGATTTTATCCAAGTAGCCTTTTCGTAGGATTTGAACTTAGGTCGGTTGTTTTGATACCAAAATGTTAGGGATCTAACTAATATGCTCCAAAACTATTGGGTCATGAAAATACAGAAAGTTAGTCTCTTAAACGACCAAGGGTCATTACAAAATCGGGGATTACACACTTTGTTAGGAGTCGGTGCACGATAAGATACTTTGAGAGGGTGCGGATTGGATAGGGGATGGGACTTCTCTCTCTGATGTTCAATGCTTTTCTAACCTTTATAAGTATACGCCCAGGCATGCACCCTTTTTGACAACCATTTCAGCTTTCACCTCAGGGCATAAGCTTGGTGTTCTCAGGTATTTGGATTCTCCGGCATATAGCAAAGAAAGTAAAACAATTTAGAGTCATTGTTATGATAAACTAGGGTCACAAAAAGAAAGATAACAATGAAACTCCCACCTTTGTTGAGTTTGCAGTTTCAGCGATTGAGTAAATAATGGAGAGCAAAGAAAGCAGAGCTCATTTTTCCTTGAACCCATTGTTGACGAGAAAGAAGAAAGAACGGAAATCAATACTTTGTTTGCTATTTTCCCGCCCGAAAAAACAGAAGAAGAAAAGCACATGAAAATAAATAAAAAATAAATAATAAAAGAGAAGTTTTCCTGCCTTTATTTAATTCAAGGTGGGCTATTTTCTTTTTCTTAATTGTGATTAGACTTATTTGATAATGTTATGTTATTCTCAAGTCTCTACATCTTAGAAGTCTATTGTTTGTACTCTATCCTAAAACCATAGGGATGATTTCATACTACTTATTATAAGATCATTCCTAAACTTGAATTACGGATCGGTACTCTATCTTTATTCCAAAATCGCCTCTATACTTGTATCATAACTTCTTCTTCTTCTTTTTTTACGATGCCATGAATCCATTTAAGTAAGGGAAAGTATATAATGAGACTTTTTACTTTTGGTACAAGGTAGCCACAATTAATCTTGACCATTAGATGTGAAAATTATGTGGTTGCATTTATTTCATTGACCAAACTCAAAGTTTAAAAAAAAAATTCTCCAACTTTGTGACAAACTCAATCTATCAGATTTCAAATTGAATGGTTGTAAGTAATTGCAACCTCCCTATACAAAAAGTCAATGGTCTCATTGTATGCAATTCTCTCGTGTCCTTTTCTCCATTCTAGTTTAAGTAATCATGGACACCATTAGTCATTTGAAGTTTTTGAACGAGTGAGAGAGAGAGATAAAAAGAATAATAATAAATAATTTGAAATAAAAAAATAAATGGAATAAATAACAAATAAATAAATAAGCCACTCAAGAAAATGTAATTAATCTCCTTGACTTCTCTATTATTCAAAATTATTGAAAAATCGATCTCAAGAAGACGATTAAAATTAGTGTTCAAAAAATCAACTCGGCGAAAGTACTCGGGCCTTGGCCGAGGCAATTTACTCATATGAGTCGTCCGAATCCAGCTCATTTTTTTTAAAAAATAAAATGAAAAAAAATACACACATATATATATATATATATATATATGGTGTTCGATTTTTTAACATTAAATGATCAATAGCGTGTGGGTTATGCCGCTGGATAGTGGCGGCCTCCCTAATAGAGGTTGCGGGTTTGATTTTTGATGGACTGCGATTTTTTAAAGCTTCTACGAAATAAAGGTTCCATGAAATAAAAAAGTGCCAGTTTTTATAAAATAGTTGTACAACCAACTCGCCTGGCTCTAGCTTTCTACGAAATAAAGGTTCTATGAAATAAAAAAGTGTCAGTTTTTATAAAAACATGGGATAAATATAGTTTATAAAATAGTTGTACAACCAACTTGCCTCACCAATAGAGCGAGGCCAAGTTTCATACCATGATTAAAATAAATACATAAAGCCTGGCTTTCATAACCATGGGCAGGGCTTCCCCACGTTGCCAATGGGAAGAGCTGTTTCACTCGACGTTCCGTCTTCACTTGGCCAAATAGGAAAAAGAGGTTCATTATCACCTGGAGATTCGGAGTGAGCTCCTATTAATGATGAGAATGAAAACCACAACGTGGTGATTAAAGTGTGGGTATTTTTTAAGTAGATTTAGAGTGAGTTTGTATTAATGATGAGAATGAAAACAACAACGTGGTGACTAAGGTATGAGGTGCAACGACCACGACCTCAACCTCTTTTTTTGATTTGCTGCATGGCCGAGTAAAAATAAATAGCCCTCATTATCCTACCAAACTGCTGAGCACAACGCTTGCTGTTTCTAAAAGAAAATCGTTGGGACCATCCAAGAGAAGATTCGAACCTTCACAAGGAATAAAAGTTCACTTATACTTAGTAGGCTGCATTAACATTCATATTACATCACCCAATTCCTCGAGTCTACATTTTGAACATGGATTCAGGGTATCCCAACAAGTATATAGATGAATTTAAAATAAACATAGTACCAAACCACAATCCAAGTGTATGTATGGTCTTGATATAAAATATAAGAGCATAAAATTATAATTCAAGTACAAGGTTTTTTTCTTTTTTTTTTAAACGGTATTCAAGTACAAGGTTTATGATAGAGTGTCAACAATAGACTTCTAAGAGGAGGGGGCTTGAAAATAACATAATAGTAACAAGTATTATAAAATCACAATTAAAAAAAAAAGAAAAGAAAATAGCCCACTTATAATAAAAGGTAAATAGGAAGACGCTAAAATGTCAATAAACATATCTTTTATTATTTTCTTTTCTTGTGCTCTTCTTTTTTGTATTTACGTCCGAGCACGAAAACAGCCAACAAAAAGTCTTGTTTCAACTAATACCCTCAGTCTTAAGTACCAATGAATTATATAGCTTGTCATCGCCTCTAGAACTAAACGAATACTCAGGATCTGAAATCATCTAGAAAATCACTATATCACCAAAGCTTTCACTCAAATATGTTGATCATCTAATAATCTCATCGCATTAATCTATGCTAAAATTTTAGGACAATTAGTTTAATATATAGATCATTATGTGGCCCAATTTCTTAGCCTTGAGAGTATTTCATGCATGGCCAAGACAACATGTTCACTAGTTTCCAACTCATGAGGTGCTTGGTCCAAAACTCTGACGCCTTTTACATGAATAAATTGTTGTAAATTGATCTTTTCCTCCACTACACTGAAGCGGGCCTTCATGTCTTAATACTTGAAAGCTTCTCTGTCAGATCCCATCTCATACACCTATCAAATGCCCATGAACCCTAATATATAATTACTGCTAAGACATCATAAAATAATGCTTAAATTAAGACTCGAGGAGATTTGCCTAGTCCAATAACTCATGGCTCAACTCTTCATTATTTTCGTCTCTCTTTCAAATAACCTGGCAAAACATGGAGATCTCTTTACAAATAATATGATATAATTTTATCTTTTAAATGTGAATCCCAACTAGGAGTGGCGACGGGTCCGGTCGGGTCTGGGCCTGATTTGGACCGGACCTAAACCTGATCGGACCTGAATTCAATGGATCTGGATCCAGACCCGAAAATCTAGTGTCGAATTTAGACCTGGACTCAAACGGATCTAATTGGACCCGACCCAAAGAATTAAAATATCTATGTATTTAATTAAATTTAAATATATTTTATATATTGGGATATGAAAAATATTACCAGGCCCAGACCCGAATCCCGACTCCGACCTAAACTTGGATAGTTTTCGAGTCCAAGATTTGAACCTGTACTCGACCTTTTAGGTCTAATTTTTTGATCCATACCCAATTCGGGTCTAGCCCTCAGGTCCCGGGTTTGATCGGATCCATTGCCACCCATTCCCAACTCGACCTGGCAAGACTTTTCGCTCTCACTTTCCAAGGCCTTAAGAAGCACCTTCCGAAGGCACTCACTCTCTCTTAGCCACCTAAGGCACTTTCCCGATAGGAGGAAAAATACAGAGGGAAATGCAAATATGAAGGATAAGTTCATAAGACTTATTGGTGGGTCACAGAGCAAATGGCTCGAAAATCTCAGACGGCCAAACAAGGTGGAGTAAGCAAACGAAAAGAAAAGCAGTTCACAGCATAAGACAGAGAGAGAGAGATGGGATAAGGAGAAGCATAATTAGCCGTATCTCTAGTCCACTGAAAACCATATCGCAGTGCAATGGCTTTAGCCACTGCAACCTCATTCCCCACATTTTTCCCCTCAAAAAACTATGCCCAACCGGCCATTATACTCTCACCCACCTTATTCTCCCACCCCAACAATTCAAAATCACATCTTTTTGTATCCCATCCCAAATGTGGTGGAAAACTGTTTACCCCTTTCAGTGGTCTCGGTCTACTTGGCTTCTGTTCAAGACAGAGGTTTATGAGAAAGGGTACTATTCGCTTAACTCAATCTATCAGAGTTTCGTGTATTTTCAACTGAATTTGATCTTTGGTTTCTTTTTTTCTTCATCTTTTTGGTATTTTTCTGCAATTTTTTGGTTTGTGATTTGGCTTCTCTTTCTCTATAAAGTATTGGTATGTCTCATTTTGGGTGCCCTGTTTTTGCTTTCTTCAGTGTTTGTAATGCAATTTTAGTGGCGTCCTTCTGTGCTGTTATGCAAGTTCCCTCTCTCTTCTCTCTCTCTCTCTCTCTCTCTCTCTGATGAATCAACAGTTAATATCATATTACCATATCTCGTATTGGGTTCCTTTGTTTTTTCCCTTTTCAATATTCTTATGCAAGTTCTGGTTGTGTTTGGTTTATCTCTGTTTTCTCTCTTTCATTGTTGGGGCTGCAGATAAAAAGGGCAAAAGGAGATTGAGGGGCATTTATGCTTCTCTCTTTGGAGTTGGAGCTCCAGAAGCATTAGTTATTGGGGTTGTGGCTTTGCTGGTATTTGGTCCCAAGGGTCTTGCTGAGGTGCACTATTTTATCTGAAACTGAACGCAATTTTCTTTTTGTGAAAGAAAACCTTGAAAATGTACTGTAGATTGTAGAAAACGTTGGCGATCTACTTTTTATTCATTTACATTTGTCTAAGCTATATCTGAACACTGAACTTCTTTATTAAGTGGAATTTCAAAGGAAAATGCCTGTAGAGTCCTACATTGCTTTGGTCTGTGAGTGACTGAAATTGCAATGATTTTTGGGTGAAAATAGAGGATTTTATCCTTTTTTGAATATGTATGATTACCATTGGGAAGTGCGAGAAAGCTCAATGTTTCAGTATATGTATTGAATATCATGCATAGCTGCATGCTTAGTGTATTTCTTATCTATTCTTAGTTAATGAACTTAGAAGATTCTAATAATTTATTTTGTGTAAATCGCATTTTGGATCATTTTTGTTTGCATGTTTTCTGCTAATGTGTTTTTATCAACTTTCATGGTTTTTCCTTTTTGTAATTTTCTCCAATTTTCATGGATGCAGGTTGCCAGGAATCTTGGAAAAACATTACGTGCCTTCCAACCAACTATACGAGAACTTCAGGTTGTTGGAATTTATCTTCTTCCTCTTTTTCTTTTTAATGAGTAAAAAGGACATCATGCTACAGCTTTTATCCTGTTATACGTACGTACAAATATCCCTCTGTGTGTGTGTATGTAAACCGGAAGTGTGAATTCCTCTGTCTTAGTAATTGTTAGGCCTCAAATATGAAGTATTTTAAATTTTGACTCCAGTTCTTTTGAAGGATGTGTCACGGGAATTCAAAACCACACTTGAACGGGAAATCGGATTGGATGAAGTTCCTACATCAATGAAAAATAATGGCAATTCGACCTCACCATACATGAACAACCAACAACCTATGGAAAACCCAAGTAAGTGATTTCAAACTCTGATATGGACATACTAGTGAAGAGAATCTAGTTTTGAAGTTGGGTTGTTATGTCATAAGAGCTTGAAGTGCTAAGTTTGGACTATAACTATTATATTTTGATACTAAAAATACGATGCATGAATTATTGTTGTCTCTGTTATATGGAATGCAATTTTTGTTGTCGCCTTTCACCTTCTAATTTCCAATGGAAATCACTGTCCAGGCATTTGATATCCCGTGTCCTCATTAAGTGTTTCATGGGATGTGGATGTTACAAAATTGAAGTTACATACTTGTCTCTATTAGTTCCTTTGTCATTGTCTTTGTTTATTTATAGTACTTGCTAATCCCACTAATATCCATTATGGATAACCTACATAATATTCAAGCATAGACTAATCTTTCTTTTGTCTGCTATTTGACACATACATTTAAGTGTGTGTGTGTATTTCTGGCTTTTCCTACATTATCCTTTTTTTCATCTTCTGTGTTCATGTATCTAATTACTGCTGAAAACTTCATCCAGCTGATAATAATACATACTTGGAGTGCTCACCTTTGTAATACTTGCAATAGACTTTTGATATAGTTTAATTTGATGAAAAGCTTTAGTGTTGAACTTGCTGTATCCCTTAGGAGTATAATATTCTATCAAGAGATTTGAGAGGATCTATTTTCATTGGGGTTCCCCCCACTGGAAATTCTTGTGAAGGAGTTCTTCTGCTTCTTCTTTTTTTTCTTTTTTCTTTTTTTGGGGGGAAGTGGGGGGCCATGGTGGGGAGGGGAAGATGGGCAAATTCGATTACTTTTATTGATATAGATAATTGTATGTTATATATTACATAACATGTACATAGTTAACATGTAGTATCGTTATATATATGTATGTATTTGAGCGTGCGTGCATGTAGAGAGAGAGAGAGAGAGAGAGAGAGAGAGAGATCATATTATAATGCGTAATTTATATTATTCTCATATCATATTTTTATATTTTATATTGTGGAATGTGTAAGTTTAGTAATAATAGGAGTAGAGACAAGGAATTAATTAATATTTACAGTCAAGAAATATAAAAAAGAATGCACTTTTGATATCTTGGGTTGATAATCCAAGAAAATGGAGAGATTGAGGAAGATGGCGCACATAGAATTAAAGCTGCATGGGCGAAGTGGAGATGTGCAATCGAACTTTTATGTGATCACTTCATAACAATGAAGTTGAATAGGGGTGGCAACAGATCGGATTCTGCTAGACCGTACCCATACCCGAAACATTACATGTGGACCTGTACCGGACCCGTACCCGACGGGTCCAAAAATATGGGACCTAGACCCATACTCGAGAGGGTACTAAGGACCCGTGACCCAGACCGGGGCCCGATATGCTTCTCTTGTGTAGTTAATCTCCCCCACCCCTTTTATAGTGCTTACACTCCTATAAATTTGTTCCCCTCTTTGATGTGGTATTAATCCCACTGTCTCTCTCTACATTTTCTTTCAGGCGCATAAAACTTGTTGAAAGCACTGCCATGCCATACCATTTAATTGCCCCACGCACCAACTCAATGACTCATTACGTGTGGGCCCCACCTATACCTTTGTCATTATTCTTTATCTATTTCCGTGAAAACCTAAGCATCAAAGCCATGAATTTAATTATCCAATGCAATGAAATGAAGGAGAGAGAAATTTGTTATTAATGGATCATTATACTTCCCAATAATTAGTAATAGGGTGTGGGATTAATCCCACATCCAAGGGGTGTATAGAATCTTTGGGGTGTAAGCTCTATAAAAAGGGCAGGGGGACTTAAAGTTGGTTTAAAAATTAAATCATATACAAAGCAATAAATTAAGGTTAAATTATATATAATAACTATGGGTCCGAGTATTCATCGGATCGGGTATAGCCATACCCGGGATTGTTCGGGTATCACTTATTGGATCTGGATCCTACTTGCGGGTACAAAACTTGGACCCATGTCGGGTATACCCGCTGGGTCCCGGATTGGGTTCGGGTCCATTGCGACCCTTAAAGCTGAACAACAAGTTCTATAGGACAGTTGTGAGACCAGCTTTGCTTTAAGGTAGAATGTTGGGCAGTCAAGAAACGGTATACCCATAGAATGAGTGTAGCAGAGATGAGGATGTTTAGAATGACGGATCAGGATTCATATAGCTGACCCTAATTAGTTGAGAAAAGGCTCTGATTATGATGATGATGATGATAGTATATTGGCTTTACAAGTAACTAGAAGTATGTCATATTGTGTGACATTGGTACGTTAGGCATACTTTTGCATTTGGGTATACTATCTTCTCACACATCACATGGATATGGTCCCGTATCATGATTTTATCCTTAGAAACTAGGCTCTACGAAGGCCTCTACTCGTAATGGAGGCACCTTCTAGTTTCACCCAAGGCTATCAATTCCGAGATGCGGGCTCCATATGATCGATGTCCAATGCTCTAAGTGCCTCAATGCTTCTGTGCTGCGGGCACATCATTTCTGATGAGTCAATAAATTTAAATGAATTTTAAGAAATTACAAAAAAATTAGGAATACCAAGAATAGCATGGGTATGTGATTTATGCAATAGTAGGCATTTTAATTTAGTATTTGTCTCTAATATATTTGTTGTCTGATTCTTCAATAGCCTCATTAAGAGTAACAAAGACATTTTTTGTCTCAGTTCTCTCACACAATTAACATTTAAAATGAATAGATCTAACCCATTCATTAAATTAAATAAAACACAAAAGAATATGTATTTTATACCAACTAGGTACTTGAAAAGTTAATCGGCATTTAGTAACTAAGTGAGTGTAGTCTATTGCCAAAATACCAAAGGCTAAAGTACTTTGCAAGTACATATCATCTGAGGAACTTAAACTTTCCCTTAACCCATCCCAAGCATGGGTAAAGGAGGTGGGTTGTGTCATAGTTGTTGGAAATACCTAGGAACCCGAATCGTTTCAAGAACAAGAATCGCGCCTAGCCAGAAGTTTCTCATTATAGGAATCGTTGTCCATACAATAGGAATCGCTGGGAACGAGGTTCCTAATTTTCAGGAATCGAGTACCGATCGTAATAGGTTCAAGTTTCATTCACATATGGAATCGAGATTCCGGCCTCCTTGGAATCAAGATTCCATTCCCCCTAGGTTCAACACTCCAAGTGTTAAGTTTTATTAATGAATCGAGTTTTCGTCATCTATGGAATCCAGTTTTCGACATATGCAGATTCGAGTTTCCATCATTTATGGAATCGTGATTTTAACATTTTTGGAATCGAGTTTCCATCATCTATGGAATCGTGTTTCTAACATATTTGGAATCAAGTTTCTGAACTATAGGGATTAGAGATCCGTGCTGGTTTGAGATCGAGAATTACACTAGTGAAATCAAGTTTCCGACATCACTTGATTCGAGTTTCTGACATATGTGGTACATAGATATGTTGTTGTGTAGAATCGTGATTTTTACATATTTGGAATCAAGTTTTTGAAATATTGAAGGGGCGAGTTGGTCAGGTTTCACTGGGTAGACTTTTTAGACATTAAGAGTACTGCAATACCATTTAGGAAGTGTCAGGTCTCACTAGATTGTTTAGAGTTGCGTTAGGTAGGCAGCATGCGTAAAACTTTGTCTCATCTTATCATGAATCCTGAACCTTGAATGGAGGAACAAGATTCATATCCCTAACCCCAAATAATTGGGATAAGGCTTGGATGATGATGATGAACATCTAAGGATCAAAAGTTATGACATTAAAATGATAACTACCCATCAATTGGACTCGAAGTAACATTTCTCAAATCCATGTGCATCTCCTCTTATGTCTCTCACAGCTGAAGCCGAGGCTGCTGAGCCATCATCATCTGTGTCATCCGCCCACTCATGCACATATACTTCCTCTATTGTCTCCTTTGAGTCATCCTCTTCTGAACCAATTCGGATTCCATTCTCTTCATTTTGGAATCTAGTGTTAGGCCTAAGGTCTTCATCGCCCCTGAAGCACATTTGACATCCAGCCAGGTCAAGTTCTCACCCTCGAGCACCTTGTGATAGTTGATTATGGTCCATTTGCTTGTGCTATCAGGTTCTTCCAACACAATATTTGCAACATCCATGTACTTCTAGCACCTCTCCTAAGATGTTCAATGTATCGGACAGATACTAGATTATTTAGCTTTTTCTGCTCAAGCTTGTTACTCCTTTAACTACGAAGTTGTGGTGGAAAGAAAGGGAACAAGCAAAGGAAGAAAAGGTTACTTATCCTCATATCCCACGGGTACTCTTACTTAAACTTCGTTTAACTGAGGGATCAGCGACTGTTTGCTACAATTAACTGAAAAACTTTGTTACTTGAGATTCACCCAAGCAATTAAAAAAAAGGTTACTTAACCTATGCTTGGTAGATATCTACAATTTAAATTCTAGTAAACATAGCAAAAATAAGTTTTGCATGCTCCAATGTGCTACAGTTGTACTTGCAACCGGATGAACTGTGGGTGAGGCTTAATACTCGTATCATTAGACGTTGTAGATTTGGTGTCTAGCTTCCATAAGTTGCCCACTACACAACTCCCTATAAATTATTTAATACATGTACAATAATGGAAGAAACAAAAAAATATCGTGTTTTATTCCTTGTAATTTTGTAATTCAAAGATTACATATTAAAAATTCATACAAATTTAGTTTTCTGGTTGCGTGGTATTCGTATTCCTGATGGTGATATCCTGTCCAAATTTCCCAGTGCACGCCTAAATTTTATCAACTCATTACTTTGGATTTCATCTTATATAGTAAATTGCCGGATGTTTGTCATGGAGTATCAGCTGCTCGTTTTGTTTTTTTTTTTTTTTTGAAGGTGGGGGGAGGGGGTGTGTGTGGTGGGGGGTGGGGGTTGTATGGTGGGGGACGTGGGGGGGCAATGAAGCTGTGTGTCCCATCTTCCCATCTACAATCTCAATTATAGGCTGGTATCTATGTTC